GCTTATGCCTTGACCGGATTAAGGCTAATCCGCCTAACACTTGTCCGGTTTAAGACTAATCCGGACAACACTCCAGTGAATAACTTTTAAATCAAAAGTAAAGTTCTATACTCAATTATATAATTATGAAGAGTTAAAAAGTAGTAAGAATCACTCACCTTAAGCAATTTCTTTTGAAAACCAGATACTTGAAAGTAACTTGATTACCGATCAAAAAATCCAGTTAACACTTCTTCACTTAAATCGCTCACTTGAGGTTCAAAAATGGCAAGAAGAATAAACTGAAGGCTAAGCCCTCCTTTTATACCCTTTCCTACTTAGGAAAGTCGGCTGCCTCATGCAGCCTTCACATGCATGCATACATAATTTAATACATACATAATTTAATACATACATTCACTTAAGCATACTCACATACATGCATTCACTTAAGCATACTCACATACATACATTCATATCATGCATATATATTTCTTATGCATAAAATTCACATATTTGTTGCATACTCATTTATGCACATAATTTCATCTACTAACATGATCAAATAAAACAAATTTATCATGCTATCACGTAATCACTTATCAAATAACGAGGATCTAGTTATCACAAAGGTCCAAGAGTCTTATCCGTTAAGTGAGGGCGACGACTCTTACCACGGTAAGCATTTACTGGGTAAATTGTTGTATACTATGTCGTTTTGGTGGACTAAAATCTTACCCGGTGAGTATATAATAGTGTTAAATTTTACCAATAAACACTTACCGGGAAAGTGTTTGATAAACGGCCCTTAATACTACTAGAATAATATGCTAGATTATCTTCCGAAAATGGAAATGGTACAATATTAATACCACATTATTTTTTTGGAAAAAAAATGGTCTGACTTAGTTTAAAAACAACAAGCTGATGCAGGCTTATTAGATTATTTTGGAGCTAAAAACTATGATTGCTACTCTTTAGTACTTATTGCTTGGGATATTATAGTTCATCAACCTCTATTCGTGTGTTCGAATGGTTTGACAATAATATTTAGGCATGTGTTTGATGTGGTAAACGTGTTTAAATTGTTGGTTTATTGTATATTTGTTTTTACACGTCTTAGTAAATGATAACTTACATATGTTTTTCACATTAAATATTATTTTTATTATTATTATTTTAAAATAATTCAAAAAAATGGTATTTTTATCATATTCATTATTCCGTTCCAATTCATCCGTAAAAACAAATAAATAGAGTCCACCATTTAATCAAACATGATGATATTTTATTCTAATTCATTTGACAAATTATATTCCATTAAAAAAGCATTATACAAACCAAACACTCCCTAATTCTTCACTCTTTAGCATCTTGCCATTTCTATTATGATGTTGAAGAATTCCGTCAACCACTATACCGTCTCCCCTAGACATATCCACACTTTATGTGTATTAACGGGATCATAAATACAATAAAAAACAATTTGGTTTATATAATGGACAAATTGCATGAACATGTAACGTATTTTGTCTTGATTCCTATTTTAGATAACATATTTTTAAAACTTTTGTTTTATTACCTAAGATGTACAATATCAAACATTTAGGTACACGGATAACCGGTTTAAGCATTAATCGGTTACCATGGTGATATGGCGAGCAGGGCAGCCCTGGCCCGTGCGGCCACACAGGGTATCAAAGCCTAAAGGGGCATCAAGTTGTCACTTATTACTAGTTTGGGGTTTAATAATTTGGGAATTGGACAACTGAGCTTTAACTATAAAAACAGACACAAGGCCTAGTAGTGATGAATACTGAATACACATCGTTGGAAAAAGTTGGAAAGCTGGAAAAGTTTTTATTTGTACAAATTTGTCTGTATGAATTAATCTGTTTGTATAAGTTGGAAAATTTTTTGTTTGGGAGAGTTTTTTTCTCCAGATGTAAAGAGCGTTTTCTAGTTCGAAGGGACATGTTTGAAAAAAAAACTTGACTTTCTATATAAAGCTCCCCCTAGAAGCTTACTGGATAAGTCAATTTTTATATCATTAAGCCACTACGAAACAGTCATGCATAGTTGAGTGAATAAGCTGTTAATTCCATTAAACTTATTAAGCTGCTAACAGATAGGCCCGTAGCCTTTAGTCGTTAGACCTGTAACTTTTGAGTTTTACTTGTTGCTTACTATAACAGTAATTTAGATGTAATTTACTATTTTAGTTAAAAATTGATTATAGTTTTTCTTGTCTTTTATGTCCCATATATTGAAATAAAGTTTCTATTTTGCTAATTTCACTTTGGAAAAGGGAAAACTAGAAAAGAAGGAAGCACAATCTTAATCCATAATTTATCATTTTATATTTTGTATTCGGAGTTTTGGTTTTTATGTCCCTTCATTGTATTTTTTTTATTATAATTAATAAAAATCAACATGAGGATGAGATACTTAGCTTGAATAGGTTCTAAACTCTTTAAAAAAATCGCATGTTTCGTTGTTTCATTGGCTTAAAAAAATAGGCTTAGGGGCATTTTTTTATTATTTTCGCACAGGGCATCAAAAATCTTAGGACCGACCCTGATGGCGAGTGATATGGTATCAAACTCAATATTATTTGCTGACTTGGCTAATGGCATGGATTTTTTTAATTTAAAATTAGTTTTAAATTTATTTAATTTATGAAAATTTATCTATAATAATTATTTGTGTGAAATAGGGGTACCGAAATAAGATCTAAGATTGACATCTTGATACACTGATTTACCATAATAATAAATAGAGTCAATGCGTCGGACGACGACCCCTTCTTGTTCTTGCCCAGCCGCTTCTTCTTTTTTCCATCCAAACTGCTAAACAACCCACACCACATCACAAAGCGTAGTTTAGAACTTTCGTGGTGCGGTTTGCTGTTTGTATTTTTATCAAACATCACTATGCAGTACGTGTGTGTCCACTTTAATCAATCTTCCTATAAGCCTTTAAGATCTTCAATGGCAGAATGATATTTTCTACTAAGAACACCTAGAGAAGAGAGAGAGAAAGTCAATGCTCATATATTGGTCAAACTCTATATACATATTCAGATGTATACAATGAGAATCCTACTAAGAATAACAAAGCAAACACCCTTTATATAGGGTCAAACATGACAAAAGGTCAAAGTCAAACTATNAATAACAAAGCAAAC